GCAGATCCATCCTTGGTTGCAGCCATCCACACCTGGATTGAGCTGGAATGGCCTTGCAGTTCGCTTGAGTGGGCCACTGAACCAGCCGGCACTCGATATTTGGGCATGGAAATTCATCAGCGTGCGGACTTCAACTTTGAGATCTCGCAGGGAGGTTACATAAAGGAACTTCTTCGAAACCACAACATGGACGAGGTTCAGGGATCCCGTTTGCCGTGCCCAAAAGAGTGGCTTTGCGAAGGAGAAGGAGAAGAAGACCAAGATGAAAATTATTCCTCCGATGAGCTAAAGTTTGCACAAAGGGTGGTTGGGGAGCAGCTGTGGCTAACTATGAGGACAAGGCCGGACCTATGGCTGCTCGAGTAAGTCGTTTCCCGAACCGTGTTGCACAAGTTGCGCGAAAAATCTTGGCCTACTTGAAGAGCACTCAAGAGATGAAGTTGGTTATGGGACCTAATGGGAGCGATCCTGCGAGAAGCCCGGCCCTGGTTGGGTATTCAGATGCCAGTTTCTCCCCTTTTGGGGAAAAATCCTTTGGTGCCACCGTCGTCACCGTCCACAGTTCCCCTATTGCTTGGAAAGCATCGAAGCAAAGTTTCGTGACACTCTCTGTCATGGAAGCTGAATTGTACGAAACAGCGAATGCCTTGGTGCTGATTGAAAGTGTTGGGAGCATTTTGGACGAGATTGTGGGCGCAAGGACACCCCGTCTTTTGAGAGTGGACAACTCATCTGCCCTGGCGATGATCCAGGGTGGCCCCGGAAGTTGGAGGACGCGACACCTCAAGGTGAGAAGTGCCAAGATTCGGGATGAAGTGGAATCAGGTGGGCTACAGGTGGAGCACATCACGGGAGACCTCCAGCTGGCCGATTTGGCCACGAAGATGCATCCGAAGATGAGGCTGTGGGAGCTTCTCACTCTGTGGGGCTTCAAGGATTTGCAGTATGAGGCCGTGGAGGCTTGGGAGGCGAAGAGCGCATATCTAGCGCTCCTTGTGATGGCCTTGATCGTGACTCCGGTGGACGCTGAGGAGGAGCCCTCTGAGAACAGAAGGCTGCAGTCTATTGGAGTTGATGAACTCATGTTGGTGACGATCTTGGTATGCATTGCAGCAGTAACCCTCTGGGAAACGCTGAAGTGGGCCGCTAGATGCGTGATTCGGTTCTTCAAGGAGTCTCCTAAACAGAGGAAGCTCAGAAGGCTGAAGGAAACCGCTAGGTTAGCTGCTGAGGAGGAGGTCGACCGAGCGTTGCTGGGGACTAGACCAGAAGAAGCCGCTGAACCTCCAGAGCCTCATCCAGTTCCCCGTGTACGACCACAGAGACGGGTAGTTGACCCGGAGCCAGAGAGACCCCAGGTGATGGAGCAGAATTTCGAGCTGATGCCCAGCAAGGCGTACTACAAGACGAACTCTACGAGATCAAAGCTGCATACAAATCCGCAATGTCATGGACTCCGGAACTCTGGTGATGTATATGCAGTAGAGTACTGTGCGTATTGCCAGCGAGACACCCCGCTGTATACTCGTCGGAGTCGATCCCTTCAACCCACGAGGTCGTATTGAGACGAAAGGCTGTGGAACCTCTGAAGTGTACAAAGGGTGTTGCATGATGAGTTTTTGGGCTGTGGAGCAGCTCAAGCACCACGATCCTTGCTTTGATATCTAGCCTTTAAGGATGTGATTGAGACGATCGCATCTCCTCAATCAAGGAGGAGTGTTGAAGGTTGAGTGCTGTGACTGTAGCGTGATGTGTTCAAGAGCCGTCATGCGAAGCTTGATCTTGCAAGGCAGTGCATGTAAAGATTACATCTGCAGGCCGCAAGGAACAAGCCCAGAGTTAGCTGCCCTTTCGACAGAAGCCAGCAAACTCGTCAGCAGTTCTTGTGGAAAAAGCGTCTGAATTCGGAGTCGGCTTGCCATGTCGCTTACTTTTTCCCTTCTGTGAAGATTACAGGCTGTAAGACCGAACGCACCCAACGACCTAGAGTTCTTCATAATCGTAGCGGTTTCGATGCATCCTTAACTGCTTTTATCATGAGGTAGCCCGCGTGCGTCAGGTACCCCCCCACAGAGCGATCCCACGCCGGGGCCACAAGTCAGGTACCCTGCCGAGAAGCAGTCCCGCACCAGCCGCAAACCCCGAGAGAATCAGGGATGTATGGTACTACTTTGCTAAAGGATGCTGCAGCTTAAGGTTAACTCAGCATCCAAGGTGCTGGGGAGATCGTGACTGCTCATCGAAACAAAGCTGCTCTGGCCAGTTGAGCCCAGGGTTTCAGGGTCAGAAGTACAAGTCGAAGTATGGCTGCTCAGGGATTCCTCTTGGCATGTGGCACCTTGCCCCCCAACCCTGTAAGCTTCAACTCCTTCAAAAAGGCACATCGCTCACGTGAATAGTCCCGAAAACCCTAGCTTCATGCGGTCAAAAAAGTTCATGAAACAAGTGTGCCACCTAACTGGCCAGGTGTCACCTAACCCGAGGCAACGGAGTACCTTAAAGTATGGTCCTGCAATCAACCACAAAGTCTTCCAACATTTCTTTTCTGGCAGAAGACTGACGGATCGCTAGGCCAGCTCCATATTATGGGAGGTTCCAAGACTCGCATCGCTTGCAAGCCGAACATCGATCCATTCACTGTGGTACGGACATGCTTGCTGGTGCAGGTGTTCGTTTATCCAGTTCACCACCATGAATTATTGCAGGTGCTGATTCTTGTCTTCTGCTGTTAAAACTCAAGCAGTCTCAGGTAGCGGGTTGGGGCAAAGCGTCATCTACACATTTAGCATCCCGAAAACGCCTGCTCGATTTTCTTGGAGTGGTTAGGACCTAAGCCGATCCAAAGAGGGACTTTAAGAGAAGTTCTTCTTATCATGTTGTGCAGCGGAAGCTTCAGGGTCTAGGAAACAAGACACATGTACCCCCTATTTCCCAACATTGCCCGGAGGGGTGGGGGGGCAGCATTTGAGAGGTTACCACCATCCCAGTCATCTGTGATGACTTCATTGCTCCGACGAATGCTGCTCAGCTCAGCTGATATAACCCACGATTCTTGCCAGGCCAGCCCGCGGTCAATGTACCCTTTGAGAAGGCTTCGCCATTTTAAGTGGGGACAGAAAAGTTCAGGACCTCGAGCTTTGATGGGAAACTAGAGCAATCTTCAACGAGAGACTTCTCAGCGCTTCTTTGACCATCCTGAGCCATCCCCTGTACTAACGCTTGCCCTTATAAAACAGCTCTCGTGAAAGAGCGTCAGCTTTGTTCAAACCGACTTAACCCCCAAAGCTTGACTAAAAGCCTATTAAGTTGAGCTCAAGTTGAGCTCCCAATTGAAGCTCCCCGCTCCCCCCCTGTTCGCGTGGGGCCGAGGAAGCATTGGAGCTGATCCCAGATGTTTGGACAGCCTTTGGGCCGCAAGTCGCTTTGGTTGATTGCTCCCCACTGTTCAACTGTGCCCTGGGTGTCCTGCACTGGAAGAAAGAACGTGCGCGCTTGGAGGTGCACGAATCGTGTTTACAAGTTTATGCCCATGCCCCAGGCTCAGCAAAAGCAAATCCTCGCCAACTACGGCATCACCATGGATGACGTGAAGAAGGCTCGGTCCTGGCACAAGTCGGCACTGCGCGTCATCTGAACTCTCGCTTGGAACGTCCCATCCAGTCAAGGTCCTTGAAGACACTGAACATCCAAACCCCACATTTACCATTCATTTACAGATCAATGGTATAAACTTGGCTCCCGGAGCTCCCAAATGACAAATCCTACTATGTATTGAAATGTACGAAAACCTGAACCGTCGCAGGCTTATGTCTGGCTCCGTGACGCGCTAAACCCACTTTATCTCAGCCGCTTCGGGTCAGCTGAGAAGCGGGAGGCACCGTGGCGGACATGTGTTTCTATCAAGGCTTGGGACTACTTCACTTTTTTTTGACGATGTTTGTTTGGCATCTGTTGCAGGGTTGTTTCTGACTTCAGACGGCTTTCTCAGAGGCCTTTGGGACTTTTTGTGCCCTTCACTTTGCGGGCCTTTTGAGCAACTTTGCTATTGGGTCAGGATGGAGCAGATGCCCAAACAGGAACCCAAAAGGCAAAGTGCGTAGCAGGCGTAGCACCATCATCACGGTGATGTTAGATGAAAATTGGCACTGTAGGCTGCAACAACTGTCTATTTTCGTGAAAGTAGCAGTGCCATATTCTGCGACACTGTCTCTTTGCAATAGGATGTGCGCCTTAGCAAGCGTAGAAGGGAAGCTTCATGCATCTCCTTGCATTGCAGCTCACGGTCGTCGAGATGCTGAAGCGGAGCAAGGTGTCCATGAATGTGCTCGGCCGCATGGCCAGGATTCAGAGAGTGTGTGTGTGTGTGTAATCATCAACACGCATGTGGATTGATTGTCCCTACATGTCCCTACTGGATGCTTTCAGTTTGCCGCGAATCGAAGCACCCCCTAAGAGTACCCTGGCCATTGCAAGGATATGTCAGCTGTGGCCCGCTGCAGTCGAAGGCACGGATTCTCATCACAGGCTCCGTCGCCGACGCAGAGGCCGGAGATTCTATCCAGCCAGGGTTGCGTGGAGCTAAGCACCTTTACTACGCCACAGCGTTGGGTTCTCGGTTCCCAAGGAACTGTTTTTATATGCTGACTGGGGCTACAAATCAGGTTTTCCGGTTTTTGGGCAAAAATCAGATCCTGGCAAGCATGTCGATGTGTCTCGAGATTTCATCAGTAGATGTTCCAAAACCGACGCGTTCCAGAACCAGCGTACGCATCAAGATTGGATGCGAAATGCATACACACAGGTATCTTAGGAGTTTCAGACAATTACGAGCAAAGATCTCAAGCCCGTGTCTGGCCTGAGGCTCTTGCGACGTGCGAAGTCTTCCAAATCCTGGCCTGGCTCTCGGGAAGCACCCTAAACCCCTTTGGAGCTGTCCTTCAGGAAGACGCGCCTTCGAAGCCTTGAGGGCCCTTCGCAGTCTGCAGTTACGCTAACAAGCACCAAGCTTGAATTCGATGGTGACCCAGGAGATTTTACAACAGAGCCCAAGGAAATCGCCGCGAACGGTGGAATCCAGCCGTCCCTAGCGACCCTAGCTTCGCAAGACTTAGCAAGTAACATTCATTTTGAAGTTCAGGTAGATCCTGGTGAAAGGATCTGAATTTTCCATGGAAGCCACGTGATCCTAAAACGAACACAGTCTGATTTTGGACCTCAATGGACCACAGCAGGCCCCGACAGCGACTGACTTGACATTGCGCGCCATCCAGAAAGCCTTGATGGACCATCTCTCCCACAAAAAGCCCCAAAACTGCCCGATGGACTTTATAGAGGGACTCTAGACTCTAAACATTATTCTAACACCCTTGGACCCTTGGACGGGCAGAGCATTTCTGAACTTCTTGCTTGATGGTCTGGAACTATGCCTGGCAAAAGCTGACCCACAAGTTGGGGGTTCACTTGGGGTGCTTAACGCTCATCTGGTAGAGGGCTCTCAAAACTTTGTTCCAAGAGGTCACCCACATTGCTGAGCAAAGCCTGCTTGATGACTCATCAATTCCTTTCTTGGTCAAGTAGGCACCAGGGTCTAAGGTGATAGCTGTGATACCCCAAGGGCTAGGCCATCAACTCCGGAGCATACTTGGTAAAGCACAGGTGCAGCGACATCTGCGTACAGAATGTGCTCTCGTTCGATCGGAGAAGGATGCAAAGACATGGTTCGGTCTTGGGAAGCTTAACCTCTCTTGTCCTAAAGTATCCCTTTTTGCTTCTTCGGGATTGCTCTTTGCCGGATCAGGGCTTAAATTCCTAAAAGATGTGACCGTTATCCCTTAAGTCTCCAGGAAATGGTGGCCTACAGGCCATGGGCCTACTACTTCGTCGTCCTCTTCTCCAGGCCTGGGAAAGATTTGTCCGTATTGGGGCAAAATCTCTGTTCCCAAAGCTCCTGAGACCTGGATATAGCTCAGCAACGCCAGAGGTCGTGATTTAGCTGATAGGCAGAGCCTTCTTCTGAAGTGCAGGACAAATTCAGGTTTAAGTGGGCGAGAGATCTCCCCTTCGGGCAGGGGGATGCTACGGGACCCGCACTTTGCACAGATCTTGCTTGCGACGGGCGCCTTGGCAAAGATGTTGCACAATTGCCATTCAGAGCAAACGTTGCGGCAGTGTGGCAAGAGAGGCCCATGACAGGGGTTTTCGACACTCAAATGGCGAGAATGGTGAGCACAGTGCTGGGCACGCGCGGAGAGGGTGGAGCCGAACCCCATGCATTACGTCCGAGGTGCCGGGGCAGAAGAGGCCGAGGACGCCACGGCAAGGCATCTCGAGATCGTGACGGTGTCCGCTGACGCAGGCCAAGACTCTTGTGCTCTGTTGTCTATGAGCCTCCGAGTCTTTGGGCCCTGGACCGTGCTTCGCTATGTTCAGCTATCACACTGACCAATCTCAGGTTTTTCTTTTGTGACCAGGTTTCGAGTTCCCCAGCGCCGAGTTCTACAACGAGTTGGACACTGGGAATGCGAGGGAAACATTGATTTCTCCCATGAAGAAAGGTAGGAAGCATAGAAGAGAAGCTCTCATTGCAGTTTTTTCTGTGCAGTGTTGTAGTCGAGGTAGACGCAGCCATCGCATCATAGTCGTGGTAGCAACCGTGATAGTTGTCACTGTTGAGAGGCACAGAGCTCTCCATACCGTGAATCTGCAAACCCCGAAGCCAGAGCCAGCCCTAAGCCAAAAGGTGGGTTCTGCGTACGAACTACTTCAGCCTGGCGCTCTGACCTGTGCCACCAAGGCAGTCAATGGCCTGGGTCAGGACAGCGCATGAAGTCTTGAGCTGATATGTTTTGCCGGTTTCTCACGGAGCATTTGGCAGACTCAGATTCTCATTCACCGTTGGTTGTCTTCCAATGTTGGACATCTGAAGGTTGCAAGTATCACAGATTCTCCATGAATCAGAACGTATTCCACCAGAGGCATTTTCTGGGTGAAGATCCGGAAGTGTGTAAATCCTTCGCTCCACAGATCATTGAAGTGCAACCTGCCTTAGGACCGTTTTCCTCATCTGAAGAGAGTTCCAAGAGACAGACCCCCGAGCATGAGATGAACCCTGTGGAAAATCAAAGATTTTTCCGATGCGTTTTCTCATGTTTCTTCAACCTAAATTATTACCTTTTTCATACTAGAAACTCCTGACAGCCACCTCAGGAGTTGTACTTTTGTTGGTCCCATTACGCAAATTGTCTTTTAATTGCTGTCTTTTCGTGAGTTCTGTAATTTTGGGTTCCAAAGAAGACAAGTCAAGGTCGACAGTAACAGTGCTACTGGCCAGCGTGCTCCCTGGAGACCGATTCTGGCAGAGGGCCGTCTGCGTCTTAGGTTGCAGATGTCTTCGAAGGTCCCATGTAGCCAATGTCGACCTGAGACAAAATCCTACCAACGCAGTACATGAAGAAGAGTTGCATGGATCGGAGTTGCTCTTTCCATGTCTTGGGCTGACCAGAAACTGGGGTAGGAATGCAGATTTGGGGTGCCCTGAGGCATCAAAAACATTTCCAAGCTGCAAGAACTGCACTTCAGCTGCAAGGAGGGCCTCGGACCCGAGATCGGCCTGCGTCTCTCCAAGGCTGACTCGGAAGATAGGGTTCTTGCGTCGGTGGCATTTAATCCCCTATTGAAGGTTTCGGGGTGGCTTCTAGGCTTTGGGGCCTCCGCTCCCCTTCTCGGCATCTTGTGCAGGTGCCCAAGAAGGCAAAGTAGGCACGTGGTTTGGCAGGTCACCACCAGAATTCTACATGTCTGCACAGGGTTGTAGCACAGGCTGTAGTCACTTAAGGCATTCTATGTTCCTGGTTCTGCCCAGTTCGGTAGGGTAGCATGGCTCTGTTGTAGAGCGTGTGCTTCGGTAGCATTCATTGCCATCGACACGAGAGAGCTACGCGAATGGCTGGAAGAAGTCGGAAATGATGATTCTTTAGGAGCTGAATCCACTTCCTGGTCGAATTGAGCACCGTTCCCCAGGCTCCCGAACTTTCACTAGGTGTGGGGCATCATTTGGGCTGAATGACCTGTACAGTCAGTCATAGACATACTCGGTCGGGATCTCCGCCAGCCTGTACAAGTACGAGGGTGGTCGGCATCACCAAAATGCAGGGAAGAAGAGAGAGATGAGTGCAGGTTTGGGCCGTGCTCATGATAAGGGCTCCACCGCGGACGCAGAGAATTTGAGAGACAGAGAGTGGATTCTTTCAGATTGTAGCTGTTTTGGGAGCCTTTTAGAGAACACGGGATGGCTTCAGTCATTCAGAATTGAGAAAACGCTGCAGCGATGGCATCATTGCAGGCTTACCGCTCCTTGCTGAACGTCCTGGCATTGCCCTTGTCACCCATGGGCTCAGAAGGCCTTGATGCGGAATCAGTCTATCTCGTCAAGAGTAGGATTCCGGGATTAGGAGTCGAGCCATCATGGTTCAGGGCCCCTTACCACCTCTGAACCAAGACTCTGTGCATTTGTAAGACAAGAGCAGGAGTAGTAGTAGTAGTAGTAGTAGCAGTACTACTACTACTACTACTACTACTACTACTACTACTACTTGTTGCTCCTCCTCCTACTCGTACTTGCATTGTCACCATTCTGAGAGTATCCTGTCATTATTGAATGATTTGTGGATATTGAATGATTTGTGGAGAGCTAAGGAAGCAGGTGGAAGGGCACAACACAAGTATACAGTTTGAGCACTGAAGCAGTTTTTGATGCCATACAGACGGTTGCGCATATACGTACTATCGCTGAGACGGCCACGCCAAACCTGTGGGGGAGGGGAGCGGGGGGGAGACACAGCGCACAAGGGAGTGTGTAGGGAAGTCCAACAAGAAATCCAAGCTGGGGACGAGGACGCCCAACAAGACGGTTTGGGCGGGGGAAGGGGCCGGGGGGGGGAGAGGGAGGGCGCCGACAACAGATTCCATTGGCTTTCGGTCGTCGTGACCTCCGGGAAAAGGGATGAGAAAGTGGGTGACTACATGAAGACTACATTTGCTGAGTTCAGACACGCCTTCGGCCCAAGGCCTCGGTGAATTTTCATATAGAGCTACAATGCCAAATATCAATTTGCAGTATTGTTCCCGGATGGCCCACATGTAGTTGTAACATGTAGAAGTGTTTCGTCCATTATGCTATCGCTGCAGTACCCTTTGCTAGAGGTCTGCTCGAGAGGCAGACCTCTGAGATCTCACGACGATTCCGCCGTTACAAGGACGGCAGCCCTTTAGGGGTTTTCTGGATGGGTCTGCCAGATTGGCTCGACGAAGGCTTTGACATTGGCATTTTCTTCCTTTTGAGTGTTCGAGCCATTTCCCTGAGCAACTCTCAAGGCCAGCTGAATCCCGAGCCCCTCTGAAACATTCTGAGAAACCCATTTGCCACTGCCCCATAGCCCGATTTAACGCGCGCAGGACCCCGCTGCGGCAACTTGGCACGAAGAAAACCCACGAGCCTCAAGTCTTTTTGAAAGCTGTTGGCTCATTCTGCTGCTGTCTTTACCCTGATGGCATGGGTCACCCAGGCACAGGCGTTGGATGAGGCGGACGATACGAAGAGTGAGGAGAGGCAGTGTTGGACTTTGTTTCCGGCCTCGGGCTCCTAACGGGTAGCTAAATACAGCCAGAGATCACAACTTGAACTTAAACAGCCTGTAGTAGAGTCTGGAGCTTGCACGTTGGCCCGTCAACTCCACAAAATTCGCACACAGGACCTGCGCATGGTGCGTGGCATGACCTGGAACACGCTGTCACGGCTCGATGCTGAGGTGCAGTTGGGCGAAACCTCCCAGAATTGAACCCTGGATTTTGAGGGTTTCCAAAAAAAAAGTTCAAGATCTCAAAAGGTCCCAACTAGAAGGTTACCAGATGGATAGTAGCACAGAGCCTTGGTGAACCTTCGTGGTTTAGAGCTGACTCACGATCAGGGCTCACAAAACCATCACGGACGCTTGAAACATGTAGCACATTATGCCTATGGTCAGTTGAAGGGCACATCAAGTCATGAAGGGTTCAAACATCGCCTTTTGGGCGTTTCCACTTGTCCTCAAATGTGAAGCTGGTCGACGTTCCATGGCCAAACCGCTCGGACAGTATTTGGGAGCTGCGCAAGACTTCCACCGACAGAAGGGCTCACAAGTACAAGTTGCAAAGTGGTCTCGAGTATATGCGTAAATGAGCTGAGCCATTGTCACAAAGGTTACGTTTACAGAGGATAGCCTCCGCGCACTAGCAGTCTGAGCTTTCACTGGGCACAAGCCCGTCGCATAGAAGCTTCAATCAGACTGCCATGCCAGGCGCAGCAGTCCCTATCCATGAGAACCTCCCTGCGTGCAAAGGCGGTTCTGGGAATGCTCTTCGCTTGTCGCTTCCCTTGTGGGGATGACGGTTCTTCGTAAAGCTCCTTCCATTCTGAGTGCTCGAAGGAGCCCTAATGGTTTGAGGCATATGCAGTACACATCGTTGGGCATGTGAGGATTCAGGGTATGGTGTTAAGATGGACTGGCAATCTAGATTGTGCCGTTTGTACCCCGTAGTTCCTCGGTGCTAGTTCGAAACAAGGGCTGCCACGTGTAAAGATGTACGTTCGATGGGACGGCTCCCATCTCTTTTCCCCCGATATACTAAAGCGGGAATGACTGAAATCCAAGCCCCCATGAGAGCTGCTCTTCCTTTCCGATATTCGACTCTCACACTACCTCTACCTTTCTGGAATAATTAAACGAAGTGAAGGGAGCCGGAGCGGACAAGCACAACAACTCCCCTGCTCCAACAAAACTGGCAGTCCACAAAGCTTTTCTTTTTGACACGATGTTTCCTAGAGGTCTCCTTTTGAAAGTGGCAACTAATTTGTCCATTTGAGCACGGAGGCCGAAGATGCGATGCCGGTTGCAAAGTCTCCTGAAGAGGAGGACTACTACTTCTACGAAGAATCGTATTCCGTGCTGCTCTGAAGGAGCACGGGATCGTGGTCTCGCAGATCTACTGAATCAGATCTTGTAACAGAAGCTTCATAGCTAGTAACTAGAGTCTTCACTTGCATCACGAATGTGTTGCATGCAGTGCACCAGTGCAGATGCGATAGAAACAACCTTGATACAGTGCTTGCTGCTGGTTGGCATACTGCCATTCAGATATGATGTTCCATTTCTGAGCAACAAGTTCCAGCTCGAGTCCCGACATTATGTTTATTGGGCCGCAAATGTCTTGCAGCATGCTTTTGTGTGAACCGTATTGGGTCTGCGCTCTTGCAGCATCTTGTAGCACCCCATGTGCACTCTAGTTTTCGGGACTGTGGTTAGGGCCTTTGATTGGCATCATTGTTAGTTTCTCAACATGTGCTCACCTTTAGTTTTACACAGGTTCCTGCCTTTTGCATATGCCTTGGCAACATTGGCAAGCATGGGAGACTAGTTCCATGTTGAAGAACAGGTTCGGCAGAATTTGTTCTCGCATGTTTTCGATTTTAGAAGTTGCGGCTTCCTCCGGGGGGATTTTGGTTCAGCGGCTAGTGCTACACCTTTCCCTGGATTTCCGATTACGTCTACATGACTACGGTGGATGGTGCCGTCGCAGGCGGGCATTTTGTCACGGGTATCCGGAGTAGTAGAGCATACCAGCACAGATGAACCGCATCCCAGCAATGGAGTTGCTGAATTTTAGGTGCCACTATTGTATTCCACAGGACTTCACCGTTCAGTTCCAGTGATTCAACATAAATCTCTTAACAGCTCACGACGTTACAGAAGGCAGTTCTTCCCAAATTTGTTTGCCATA